CGCAACTCCTCTCTCTCTCTCTCTCTCTCCCTACCTCCCCACCTACCTACCTGCCTGCATCTGTCTCTCTAATTCTTCTTCCCATGAAAAACTGCCCCAAATAATAAAACCCCCCAGCCGACCCCACAAATTGCCAATACTTATTTCAAATTTCCCAACACCAAACCAATACTAAACTCTGCCCACCCTCGTCTGACTCAAAAGTTGTGTTCTGAGCGTTTTTTCCTCAAACCAAAGGGTTGGTCTCACAACCAGGGTTTACCTTTAGATATATGTTTAACCAAAGAAAAGGTGCTGTAAAAGCTCTTACTCGGAAATTGCATGTTGAACGCTTTTTCAGCAAATCAAAGGGGCTTGATGCCAGCACTAAATCACGCTCTCCATCCCCATCTCTCCAAGTCTCTCTCTATCCCTCTGTCGCTCGGTCTCTCTACCTCCCCATCAAACCTCATGCGCCTGTTCCAGAGAAGCGGAGCGCGTAAGCGTCTGGACGGGCTTGCGAAGTCCGAGCGATCAAGAAGGTAGGGAAATACACATCAGCGCGACAGGCACAGAGACCACTTTCAGATTTGTGCAATCTACCCATGGGTCCGGAACGCGCTAGGAATCCATGCCCCAATTAAAAGCGATTAAAACCGATGAAACAGTCCAAGCACTGCTTGCCCGTTGGCCATGACCCACGCATCAAGCTCCTGGGTCTGGCTTTTCGTGACCCATGGCGGCATTGAAGGCGCCTAACCGCGACCATAGCAACGGCAACATCAACCACATCTGCACTGAAACGACCCAGCATAAAGTCAAGAACATCTGCAGCATCAATGGTCAACTGCTGACGCTTTGCGTACCGCAATGTGGACGAAGGCGGCGAAGCTTGGAAGGCAGGTCAGGGCATTTTAGAAGTGACAGGCCCAATCGAAAAGTGGTGGCAGCGGTTGGTCCAGCTGAACCAGACTTGGGGCAGTCCCAGAGAATGGAAAGGCAGCGCACCTGCGCTGCCAGGCAGGGTCTGGTCGTTCGCAAGCAAAGCAACTCGACAAAGCCACTGTAGATGTTTGCGAGTGTCTGTGAACTGACTGAAATCTGACAAGCCGCCCCCTCCGCATAGCATCGAGAGACGGGAGGGTTTGGGGCATGAGCCCAAACAGGACGAGCAGCACCGCACGGAATCCTTTAACAAGATGTGGAACGGTGGACAAGCAAAGCCCCGGCTCGACGCCATGCCTGGTCCCATCCAACACATGGTCTGAGCATGCTTTGCCAGACCATGTGCTGCTGCGCGCGACACCTCGCGGTCCAGAAGACTGCAATCCAGGGCCGGCTGGAGCAAGTGCCCCCGCACCGTGGGAAGCGCTGGACAAAATGGACAGCATTGTTGGCATCTGGGACAGCCACCATCAACTGTCACTGTGGCATGTTTCGCAGCAAGAGCAGAGGAGAACAGCTGCGCCGGCCATGTCCCACGGATTCACATTCTGGATAGTGAAGACTCTATCAGATTGCCCCCCTCCCCTCCTCTCCCCTCTTACCAGCCCCAGACAAGTGCCCTCACTGGGAGATGCCTGTCTGGTGTGCTAAGAATCAATTGTTCTGGCACCCCTATCGTGTCAAAAAGCCCGGCTACTAATTGGTCAAGGAGGAATTCGCGGGAATTGGGTTCTGCAGTGGTCAGTCATCCCATTTAATCTTCCTTGCCTGTAAAAGTGTCTGCTGTTAAAGTGAGGCAGAGTTTAATTGAGGTCGGGGCCC